TATATACATATTTAAATGCATGTGTCTGTTGATATATTTATGTTTGATTGTTGATTCCATCTTCTATTCTATTTACGAAGATGTTCGTTGTTATTCTCGTTTGTATGTAGTATTTAATGCTCGATGACGGACGAATATGAAATGGTTCGCAATAATTCGTTTGTTGCTGGCCTATAAAACCACCTTATACTAGATTCTATGCGCATTCGAAATGAATTTCTGTTGTCAGAGAATATTAAGAGCTTGCAGTTAATTAGGAGTGCCACTTCGGCTTTTGATTATGCTGGTTTTATAAGCACGTATTTGTTTGTTGTATAGCTGGTATATCATGTGTTTCACGATGAATAATTTAGCGACCTATCGAAGTGAATCACTTGTTCTCCGTATACGAACATTTTTTTGTGTGTTTTTCGTGCTTCCACATCATGGAATATCTGCAGTATAAACACTTTACAGCCCAATTTGCACCTGATGAAATGCTCGCGGGAGCCTCGGTGCGGCTTGTTCAATTGTAGTTGGTTATACCCGTAGAATTGCATAGTATAGATGTACATCTTGCCAATATTCAAGTCAATCTGAAGCTTCTAGCCAGCACCGGGCCAGTTCGCTAATGGTAGTTTGCGAAGGTGTTGTATTCACATATATCATACACGGGATACTGCCAGTTAGATAACATTCAGTCGAAATGTTCATCAATCTTGTGTGCTTTCCCACAGCTGCCTGGGTACATAGTAAACCTGTACGCGGTACTCAAAATTGGTGCTGTTGTCGATTGAATAGCACGTTCTGAACTTCATGCCGTTGCACAAAATAGCAGATGTACCTAGGCGTAACTTGCAACGCACAACGACTTTTCCCATTCACAGTCCTCAATGTGCCACTCTATATACATACAATTCTGTCACGTTGTTGATACTAAACTCTAATCGCAAAATGACGTATCGCAGAGCCAAAGTATCCGCCCAGAAAAAGGCTGAAGTAGAGAAAGAGGCCGACGAAGCCGAACGAAAGGCAAGAGCTGGTGGTTCAGTCAAAGAAGACGAAATTGAGAAGTTGGAGGTGTGTCATTTGTCCAAGTTTTCGTGTCTTGCTAACTCCGCTACAGACACAAAATTATTGTCGACCTCGATGGTTCATGGTTGTAACTATTCCAGTCGTGTTTATTTGCACTGGGTTTCTATCAATGTCTGCCTTGCATCATATATTTACATTCGTCAAAATCTGCAAAACTCTGCGATCATTTGTGCGATGTCAAATTTTTGTGGAGGGTTGCTTTTGTATAGTATATCGCGCGGTATTACTGAGGCGCAACTTGCGTTGCACGTATTCTGCATTCTGCGGTTTACTCTCAAAGGTGTAGAGATAAAGCTCATCATTCACCGCCGTAGCCCTTAAACGAATCACTGGTCATTCGGCGTTTCGATTAGCATAGACTGTACACACTTGGTTTGTTGACTAGAACATATTTGAGTTTTGGCAGCATTTTTGGATATGTGCTTTGTGTGTGTTTACGATGTTCATGGTACCAGGCTCCGCATTCACATAGATGTACTAATTAGCATTTATTTTGATTGCAGGATGGCATCAGAGAACTGAAATTACAACACACAGGCATTGAACAGCAAGCCGAAGAGCGTGAAAGAAAAATCAAGCAACTGGAGAGAGATGTAGCCAAGATGAAGTCTGACCTTGAGGCACAGAATTCTAAACTGAAGAAAACGTAAGTTATTATTCCAGAGATTCTTTGGGGGTATATACATATAGAGACGCTCTTTTAGTACTACACGGCTTACATTTGACCTGGGCCTGTTAGTGAATCACGCGTGTACATACACACATATAGCGTTCGGTGTTACATGTTTCCAAATTTATATATAAAATGCGATTGTGATCTGTGCGTATCATATTGTTTTATCAATATGTCCTGATTATCGTAAATACACCATCCACAGTGGCGACTACGCAAAACAGGTAGAAACCCTTGACGCTGAGAATGCGTCACTCAAATCCAAGGCAGAGGACCTCGAAGATGCTGTTCAGGCGGCCAAGAAAGAACACGCTGCTGTGAAGAAGGAGCTGGACGATACACTCAAGGACCTAGCTTTGTAAACTATGACCCTTTCTGTTCACTTTTAATAAATCGCGCGAGGGCTATTCTTGTGCGTAACATTGGAATAAATTCAACCCTTCGTAGTTTGTCATGTCGATCCATTGGGCTTTGTAGTTTTGACTGTTTCGTGCTTCTTCAAACGTTTAATGACACAGAATGACACTATGAGATATGAGAGTGCGCTTGTGCGTGATTCCGTCGTATATTTGTTACGTTCAATATTGATAGTGTCCCAGAGCAAAAAATATGGAGAATACGTGCGATTAGAGAAGCCATAGAAAAGGCATGTCGATGACAAGAAAGCCAATAGTTAATTACCGATGAGTTTATTTGTATAGAAACTATCAAAAAGTGCTGCATATGCTCTGTTCGCTATTTAAACATTGTCATGATATAGGAACACACATGCACACAATATAATGAAGATACATGCGTATGTATGTGTATATGTATAAGATGTACGTGTATGTACATGTACATGTAAATGTAAATGTCTATGCATATGAATATATATACG